TGAAGAGCTGCTATTAGTTGTGGCTGACCTATCAAAATGTAATGCATTATTTTTTCAAAAAATAAGTATCTAACCTATCAACTTCCTACCAATCTGAGATAGAAAGTGCAATAACTTGCCCTTGTAGTCCTCAAAATGTTTAAACTCTTTTAAACGTTTTGCTATACTTTCTTGTAATACAGCTGGTTGAGAATCACTAGCTTCACAAAGTTTGTTCATTTGAGTTTGTTTATCTTTTATTGCCCTCAACTCAGTTACTGTAATGTCTCCATTATGAATATTAGCACACACTGCCTCCAGTTTACTGATGGCACATGTTACTATTAATGCCCATTCACCTTCCTTTTTTTCAACTTGAGCATCTATATAAACATGAAACACTTCAGTGCTTTACATTTTTACAAGTTCAAAATTAGAAATTTAAGTCATACAGCCTATATAGTGTGTAATTTTGGAGTGGCATTTTTGAAGACAGCTTGGAATGATAGCCACTGGCAAAATAAGTGTTGCAAAAAATTTTATAGCTCAAAATTTTTTATGAATTTTATGATTCTGCAACAATCAATTTAGTAGGGTACATGTAGAATTAATGAAAAGTAAAAAATTAAATTTAAAAAAATTAATTTCACTAATATTCAGGAATCACAAAATTAAATTAGCAATAGGGTAATATTTTTCTTTCCAAAAAAACTTTAACTTACAATAAACTTTTAAAAATCCCGGCCATAGTTCCCATTCCAAAAGGTCATGAAAAGGTACCTCTGGGACGCTCATAAAGTCTGGATACTTCTTTTCAAGAATTTTAGCAATTAATTCTACAACACGTGCCGAATTCAATTTAACCAACTGATCCCATCGTTGAATCTATTGTACAAAAGTATTGGCAAAGTGTACAAATGATATTGGCAATTAATATGTCATACTTGGCTTGCCGACTGTTTCCTAGAAAATAAATCATCTAATGCATCAATTGCTTTGGTCAGGAATATATTCCTAAAAAAATCAGGAATTCCCTCTCGACGCTCAACACTGACAAAAAGATCAATCTTTAGTTCTGGTGAAGGTATTCCAGTAACCCTATCATTAACAAGTTCTGCAACTATCTTCTCTAACTCATTCTTCATTTCTTTGCATGGAAATTTTAAAGCAAGTATGTTCTCCCAAAACTATAATGTATGGTGATAAATTAAGACTAAATATTATAAACATACTTTCAGTTCCAGGTCCTCTTTCGCTAAACCTCTTTGATAACCAAGCGTTCTAATATTTCCACCAAAAAATGATCCACCAATAACTTCACGGAGTACAATCCAGTTCTTTAGTATTAATTTCACTTGTTCTCTCAAATCTTTGCACAAAGCCTTTCTATTTTCTGGCTCTTCTTCATCATAAATTGTAACTCTGTACAAAATGTGAATAAAAAGAGACACAGACAACTCTACTAGTGTTTTGGAAATTTTGGAATAATTGAGTCTTTTGTTAAAACTTTGCACAAAATGAAACGTAGCCTTGGAGCATTGACTAAAAATTATAAAACTGCAGAGAACATCAATTTGCATTACAAAAGACATGCCACTAACTCTTTAATATCTTCCTTGTAAATTCTTATCATTATGCAAGCCATTGGTTTTTCAAAACAATGTTCCTTGTTATAATAGTAAATAATAATAACAATCAGTAATAATATTGTTTCATACCATATCATCATTAAAAATATGAGAGCAAAGACTGTATGTATGAGAAACTTGTAAGCCAAGTCTCTCAATAAGCCACACAATGGCTAATTCAATTGGTAATATTTCACAAAGAAGACTGGTTTCCTTTCGTGGACAAATATAAGGAATAAGAGTTAGCATTTTTGAATCAAATTGAAATAACTCTTTAATTTCGTCATAGTGCTTTTCAATAAACCTAAAAAATTTAAATTTAATATTATAAATGGAGGTCTTTATATCTTACCCTGTTTTATTTTCCAAAAAATATTGCAGCAATTTCAATGAAGTGCTTCCCCAAGTTATTCTATCCAGTGATAAATGTGACTGCTGATTTGGTTTGGAGAGGTCACACAGAAAATGCATCAAAGGAAAGGATTTAAGAACAGTGAATATCAAATCAGGGTTCTTTAGATCACCAATGATCCTTATGTGATGATTAAAACCATCAATAATGACTTGCCTATAAAAATTAAGCCAGATATACTTTGCTGCATTTGCTCAAGCTTACTCAAGCCATGTAAAAAGGTCTAATCAAAACGTAATTTATTCAATTTGATTGCAATCTAATCAGAACATACAATTCACAATTAAAACCAAGCATACACATGCAGCTTATGGTATAGCACAATGCGTAAGTAGAGATAGAACATATAAGAGGACTAACTTTTCCTCAGATTGCTTTATCATACTCAATAAATCATCTAGCTCTTTTCCTCCATCAGATACAGAAAGAGTCATAACTTGAATTAATTTAATTTTATATTCTTCCTTAATATCAATGTTATGAGATTGTTTCAAGCTCTTTAGACAACAGGCAAGGATCAGGCCAGAGATGAGGCGATGACTGCAAGACTCTAACAAAAACAATTCCAAAATTATTGTCTCAAACCATGACTTCACATGCTACAATGGAAAAATGGAATAATGATGTAATAATTATATACAAACTTACAGGATTAAGTCCATCAATACACCATTTCTGAGCAGTTAATCCTTGCTCAATAAATTGAACATAAATATTTTTAAATAAACCCAAAATGCCATCAATCCCATCTTGAATAGTAAACTTGGCTTTAAATTTTTCAGATGTAAGCAATTTTCTTGTTGGTTCCAAGTGAATTTCCATACATTTTGAACGCATAATAAGTGGAGATGGAACAGTAATCGTGTCTAAGTCATCTGATTCTTTCTTGTTCCAAAAGGACACATAATTCCACATTTTCTTAACAGTACCAATTTCTTCTTTAACTTTAGCGTCAGGAAATATCATTGTATCAAAATGTCTGTAAATTACTAAAAAAGCTTGAAATAATAATCACCATTGCAAATAGTATTTATACCTCCTGGTTTCAATTTATCCCGAGGAATCTTTAGTAATCTGTTAGTTTCATGAGATGCGGAATGTGGGGCTCCATGTAGTTTTTCATATTGATGAGTAAAAGCAATCATTTTTGGAGAATATACCACATATTTGTAGCACAAGCCGATTCTTGGCCTTCTCATAAACTCACAATCAACTGTCATCTTATATTTGACTACATGAAAGCCTTCTCCAGCATCTCTGTGGAATAATTTTAACTTTATAACTACAGTATACATGTACATAAAAAGTGAATGCATGCAACTTAGTAATCTACTATAGCTTTCAGTTATAAATCAAGTAAATTTATATATACTGTAGCAAAATATTACAATTAATGTACTATGTTGCATAATTTAAAAAACCTTGCTAAATCACAGGGGCCAATGTCAGTTTTCCAATCTCCTAGTTCTTTTTCAGCAAATCTTAAATAAATAGAAGACTTTCCTTCCTCATAGTGCCAACTGTCTAAGTGAATTACAGCACAAAATATTATTTTCATTGACTTTTCTTTAGGCTGATTCAAAACAAAGAGGGGAGCCTTGGGTCTACAAATTAACATAATGGAAAAGTGTATACATGTACTGTGTACATTATATCAAGTCATGTTACTTACATGTTGGGAACTGGATTGCTTGGCTCTTTCTGCTTACTCACAGAATCTTCTGGTTTCTTTTCAAACTGATCTCTTTGTTTATCTACTTTAGCTTTATCTTTTTTCCCTACTTTTTCACCTTTGCCGCCTTTAGCTTTAGGTTTAGGACTATCACTTTTAACTGGTGTTGTCTGCTCTTGAGGATCAACAACAGGCTCAATTGGTCTGTCGCTAACAACTACATCTGCCATATCACTTGGTACATTGCCAGATTCAGAAGGACATTTACTAATATGACTTGTAACAGAGGTAGGAAGAGAGGACTCTGCTGTAGGAGGAGTTGAAGTAGAACTAGCATCAGATGGATTAGGAGATGGAGTAGCAGCAGCAGAAGTTGAAGTAATAGGATTAGGAGATGAAGAAACAAGAGCAAGAGCTGAATAAGATGGAGTAACAGCATCATTAGGAGATGGAGTAATGGTAGTAGGAGAAGAATTAGTAGATGGAGTAGCAGAAGTAGGAGATGAAGTAGCAGTAGCCAAAGGCAAAGTAAATGCAAGAGCAGAATTAGATGAGCTAGGAGTTGGAGTGGTAGTATTTGAAGATGAAGTAGCAAGTACAGGAGATAAATTAGGAAATGGAGTACCAGTAACAGACTCTGAAGGTGAAGTAACCCACGAAGCAAGAGATGAAGTAACGAAAGTATAAGTAGCTGGAGATGAAGTAACAGTAGCAAGAGACAGATTAGGAGACAGAGAAGCAGAAGCAGATGAAGTAGAACCAACAGGATCAATAGATGAGACAATAGGAGCAGCAACAAGGGCTGGCAGTGATGGTGTAGCAGATGAAGGAGTTGATGAAAGTCCCAATACATCAGTGCTTCCTGATGGATCTGTTTGATTAGTGATAATTTCTTGTTTGTTTGGCAATGTCATTTCTGCTAATTGATTCTCTTGCCCATCCTTTTCTTTTGTCTTTTCATCATTGCCCTCCAGTTTATTTGGATCAGCTTGTACACATATTATAGTCTGTAAGCTTTTTCTTTCAACATCAATTTCTTTTGGATCTCTATCTTGTTGTGTCCGAGTAATATGTGAGTCATCTTCTACTTTCTTAGCAAGCGGAGGGGTAAAGGAACCTTGTGAGTCATTGTGATCAGCCTGTTTCCTTTTTCGAGTATCAACAGTCGCTACCTGATGATCACCATCTAGTGACTTAGTATCAATTTCTCCTTCTTCATCAATACCATATGTGTTAACTTTTTGCTGCACAACAGCTCCACTAGCAGCAGCTGCTGCATCAGACATTCTTAATTTCTTCTTGTCATCAGATTCATTTTCATCATCACCAGAACGTTTTAGTGGACCAACTATTTGCCCTAATGGAATGACACTAGCATCCATTGAATCTTGCTGAGATTTACACTGCTCTTCTTTTGGTTGGTCGCTTAGTTGTGGTTGCAGCTCTGGAATGGATTTTTGATCATCAGAAGGATCAACTTTACCATCAGTCAATTGTTTAACATCAAGATTTATTGTAACATTAGGTGTAGGAAGAATAGGATTGCCTTCAATGCCTTGATACGCAAAGCAATCTCCGTTATGACAAATTTGTGCCTCAAACAACAAACGAACTCCACATTTAAGGCACTCTTTGAAAGATTGCTTGCTAAATTCTTCTGGATCTTGTGGAGCTGAGCAAAATGAACAATTCTGAGTATTTGATTTTAATGAACGATTACAAAGTATACATGGAACTCTTTGAAATTCTAGAGATTGAGTTTTGCTACACTTCTCGCAAAAGGTAGCATTAGGATGTAATTGAGCTTTGCAGTGTATACACAGTTTCATAGAAGAATCTGGGTTTTGTGGGTGTATTTGGAACAAACCACAACTGACACAATACAAAGCATTAGGAGGAAGTTGTGCTTTACAATTCATGCACAATGATTTCAATGAAGACTGCAGTGACCCACATTGTGAACAAAAACTGGCATTAGGAGGCTCGAGGGAACATTTACAAGATACACAAAAATTTAAACTAGCCATGACCCTATAATTTTAAAAAATGAAGCTTAGTCTATATATTTAGAGATTTTAGTAATTCAACTCACTTTCGCCTATAACGTTAATAGCAACAACCGATGCAGCCCGTAAGTGGGCGCTCTGTCATAGATATACTATGGCTCGGTCTCTATTAACACACGGCTGAATCAGTTCTTAACGCCAAAGACAAAGAGCTCGGACACAGAAGCTTCCTATCTATATTCCTATCGATATGGGATTAATCATAGATATTATAGACTACGTAACCGGGATTGGAAACAGATGACGTCACTTGTACAGACTGTGTGATTACCCGGTATTAATGCATGAAATTGCATCAAAATCGACAAAATGGTGAAAATCAAGAAGAATTGTTATGTTTGATGAGCTGTATTAATTTTCTACTATGATTTAGCTGGTTCTAAATAGCTTATTCTCATGAAGAAAACACCAGAGATCATGATGATGCCTTTCTCTTCGTGTCTCTATGCTTAGTTCGCTCGGGAGAGGTACAACAGATCGGCCGCTTTTTGGCGTTATTTTGGTGGATTTCTGCTCTCAGCATAGCTCTTAGTGATATGGCAGGCAGAACTAACCGGTCTATTCTCATGTAGCATGGCTTTGTGCATAGTTTTAATCATAAAATGAAACTGGGGTAGCTAAAGCTTGTTTGCAGGAGGGAGAATAAGACATTATCTCTTGTGACGGGCAGCGCACTTGCTTTAAACACCTGTTTTTACAAAGCTAACACATTTTATTTTTGTATCAAAGAAAAATATTAACATGTGAGTATATTATAAGAGCCCAAGTACAGGTGAAATAGCTTGCGGGACTTCACTAGAGACCATTCTTTCCAGCCATGTCAAGGATTTTCGTCCGCCTCTCACTGTCACAGAGACTGTACCTGAATAATTACATTGATTTAAATGGATCACGTGATCTGTTTCCAATCCCGGTTACGTAGTCTACAGCCTTTTGCAGAGAACTTGCCACCAGTCACGTGATGATTAGCCATAGGCTTAACTTAATATTTTTATGAAGTCACGTGATCAGACTGGTGCAAGTTTTGTGCAAAGCGCTGTACCGTGATTTTCAGGTTGCTTGACCCAATTTCTTACTTCCTGCTCACGTGATATGTATTATTAGTATGGAGAAAGTCATGTGATTAATGAGTTTGCTAGGTCAAGCAACCTGCAAAGCATGGTATAATATACCGGTATCTATGGATTAATCAAGATGCTGGGCGTGCCCTATCACGAATTCACGATTAGATGTACAATGATGATTCATGATTATTATTATTGACTTTTATTATTAAAATTTAATAATAAAAG